ATTGATTAGAGTAAAGCGAAACAAGATACAGATTACAAAACATTAATAGTCAGCTAAATAGTAAGTAATTAGTATACATCCAGGTTAAGTCGTTAGCACACAGGATCACCTACAAAAGTTGTAATATTTTCAAATCAAGACCTAAAACTCGAGTGGTTTCGATTAGTTGACTTTTCTTCTTCAGGCGATTAAAGGGTATGTTTAATGAGTGTGATGAAATATATAGGCTCGGATGTCGATGTTGCGTAAACCGGGTGTTCAATATGAGTTGGCCTTGAGAGCTAGCCAGTCATAACCTAGAGTTGTTTGTGTCAGGTTTACTTTTGTGCCAAAGGGGTGTGTAAAGCTCATAAAAGACTTATGCAGAGATCATTGTTTTCCAAATATTTTTTATTTACTGTTCCATGCATGAAAAAAATAACTGACATTTAAATATTTATTTGAAAACATTAGTTATATATATATGTAATATATGGTAGCCAATATGTTACTGTATTTTACAAAGTTAGAACTTACTCATTTACATTGAGGTAGAATAAAAACAAATTATACAAAACTAAAGACTTGGCAATTCAGGAAAAGTTTATTTATGTAATTTGTGAATGTCTAAGAAATAAATTTATCACTGATCAACTGATCTTAACACATGAAAAGGAACATCTTTACATAAACATTCATTGGGCACTGGTGAATAATTTGTTTCTCAAGTTACAATCAAGAAGGCTAAGCCAAGAATACTAGCCCAACCAAAATGAGCCGTATTTATATTACTGGAAACTACACATTTATCGGTTATTGTGTAAGAATTGTAATATAGGAAACAGGATGTTTGTAAGCATTTACACCTATACCAGTGCTAAATCTCGGCCACCAAGTAAGATAACTAGCAAGTTTATTGGATGGGATACAACTTTATACTTTGTACAGAGCCATATCATAAATATTTTCTCTCACTTTTATAAAGTACTTCAGACAACTCTTGTTGCAACCAGTGTATTGTAAAGAAGCTTGCAAATTCTATCCAGCTGTATTCTCAGAGCAGTGATCCAAATAGTTTGTGTAGGATACTTCTGCTTTTTGACTTATTGGATCAGCCCAGATTTTCTACAAAGTCATAAATATTTTATAATATTTTAGACAATTGTCGTTGTAACCATTATACTGTCAACAAGTTGATATATCCTATCCCACTGTGTTTTCAAACCAGGGAAAATTCTGGGAATTGTGCAACATGAACTTATTTGATATTGACGGTGTTAAAGTATGGTAACACCTAAACAGGAACAGTGATTCGTTGCTTTATATTCGGCAGGTTTCTACTTCAGCCGCTAACAGTAGAATAACAATAGGAAATAGGTGTAAAAGATTAGAAGAAACTCTCAGGAGATTTGCTTGGAACTTTACTGTCCATTACTGAAAAGAACAGAGTACTATTCATTTTGTTTCTTCTAATTTCTAATTCATCTACTAGCAATAAAATATCTACAGAAAATAAGTGTGAAAAGGTGAGAGCATAAACTCTGACCATAAGTAATTTGAAGTTTTGTAATCACTACTAACAATACTGTACATTTTATTTTGCAACCTTTATTTTCATTATACATTGATTACTTACCTACAACCAGGAAAAATAAGTATAGTGTTATAGTACAAAAAATAACAAATATAATGCGTTACTGAAAATAAAAATATTTGATGTTTAATTACGAGGTTTTTTTTCATTTTTTTAACTGTTTATTATTATAAAAGTAACTAAAATCATAAAAATAGAAAGTTGTTAAGTAAGATGATTATGAGATTGGTCAAATCAATCAACACCATTTAGTGTTAATATTGGTAAAATAACATATTAAATATAAAGTTTTATTTAAAAAAACGTTTGATTATCTAAAAGAATATAGAGATTATGCAAATAAAACTTGACAAATTTCAGATAAAGAAAAGTATTTTTAATCTTAAAATCAAAATTACTTTGTACGTTGGATAGTCAACATTCCGAAAGAAAACATTCATATGCAAATGTTTAATAAAAAAAATCTTA